CATACAGTATGCAGTAAAAATTGAACGCATATGTTATATGGTATACTTGCATCGCACTAAATCGTTCTAGTTTTCGGCAAAGTGTCTTTGAAATCTCGTTTTTCATCGATAGAATCAAGCTCAATCCTCATGACCACAAAAGGACAGAAATTGGATCGAGATGTGATGATGTAATCAATCTATTGCTATGAATCATTAATTATGAAAGGGAAGTAAGTTTTAATGAATATTCTGTCCGCATATTTGTTCTCAATCTCAGCTTGCAAATGATTCATCGTCAGTACAAAAAGTCAAAAAGCTGGAATTATAATTTCATTTTTACTCGAACTTTTACATATAAATGTGTGCCTAACAAGTCAGTTTGTGTGTCATAACAGCATACTTAATTCACATTTTCGATGAATCAATTTAAGACAACCTTCAACTTCAGTTTAGTTTTTAATGAGCAGATGCTTTGTGAACGTGGTCATGGCAGACAAATGCACGATGAAAGCTGCTGGAAAGATTAAAATGAATTCGGAGTTATGAGTTCAAACTCTTTCGACCGATCGAACACAAGAAAAACACTAATTGATGGTTGGAGAACCAGCTGCTGCATGAAAGCAGACATTTATTTCCTCGAATGTATGGAACTGATACACATGGCTCATTTCTGACTGGCTGATATCGTTTTTGCCATATTAACAGGTGCATTGAAACGTCCGTGATTATTAGATGAGCTTTATTGTGCAGAAGAAGCAGAAGAAACGATCATCAGTTATAATAACCAGAGATGTAGAGCATGCGATGAAGCTTTTAAGATAAGACGTGGTAAAGCTGAACAACCCGCTGATAGAAGAGTCTACTGATAAGTGATTCAGTTGATAAGATTGATTTCAACTCAGATCGTCCTCATGTTGGTGCTCGCTGTGTATCGTTACACGCGACTACCACTCATAGTTATCTCTGTGACAGGCAATGCTTTTGTACCAATCATAATGATCCGATATCCAACGTTGCGTAAATCGTCCACAAACATGTTAATTGCCCAGCTGAGCTTCGCCGAATTTCTCAACAGTAAGTTCATCAACTTTATTGTTTTGTATTCATCAAGTTTCAGTGAATATCAGAAGAAAATTAGACATTCTACTGACATTTGACATTTGACAAAATAGTTCATGAATCTAGTGATCAACTGACTCATTATGATGTCTGCTTGTGAATAGGAGAGTTCATGACTCAATATGAATTGTAAGATGCCTGATCGGATTTGGCTCAGAGCAAAACTTCAGATGGGATGTTCCATGAAGATTCAGTCTCATTCAGTCGTATTTTTGCATGTCATATGGTAAGATGAACTGAGTTAAGCATTATGGTTGGTGGGCAACTCTCGGAAACTCGATTTTTGGTCGCTGGATACTGCAATTGTAGAAAATACTGATGAAACGGTGATCGATGTAAAAGAAGAAATCACTCAAACAATCATTGTTGAGAAGATATGAAAAATGATTTTGGTACTGCTTCAGGTCTAGGAACATTGGTACCAATGATTTATGCGAATGTCGTTGGATCACGTGAGGCAAACCTGCACCTATGTCTAGTGCTTGCAATTCCAATGCTTATGTCATTATATGTCATCCAAACGACAATTTTATTCGTCGCTATTGATCGTTTATTATGTCTGATTCGACCACTTGTTTATCATCGTATGGTGAGTAATGATCAATTGTTAGGATCGATTTTCTGAAAGTTTCATCGAGATTGCAATTCTAAAGAAAGTTATGCCAGATTGAGATTTTCAACGAAAACTTCCAGCTAAGAAGTCGTATATGTCAATGTTTTTTGAAAATTTGCGATTTTGATGTATGATTTTTGGGAAGTAGATGATAGTCACGCAGAATTAGTGCTTGCACGAGATCTGGGTAATTACCGAATAGCGGTAATAGAAAAGCGATACCGATCTCGGGATTCGTGGTGTCGATATTCACGGTATTTCCGATGTTCATAATAGTCATTTTAAGTGAATTCGGTAGTATATCCATCACGACTGGAGCATGTATCGTTTTTTGTTGTATTTTTTGTTCAATTTCTTCAGCTTTAGTGAGTTAAATAAGTTTCTTAAATATTTGTTAGATAAACTGTTTTCTGAATGATTGTGAACACAATGGCTCAAAAAATGTGTTGAACAAGTCACATTTCTATATTTCAAAAGTTGCTTTCCAATACCGGTATCGTATCGGTATTAATACCGATCTCGGTATTCAGAAAATGGTCGATATTTTGCAAACTCTACTCAGAATGACTTCAGGGATAGATAAGAATTTTTGAAAGAGTGATTACTATTGTGTGTTTACAAAATTACGTGCGTTCCTATTGCAGAATACTGATTTCAAACTGTCCGTAGTTCGTGCGGCAGTGTGTTTACTGTGTGCGCTAATTGGAACAGCAGCGCAATTCATCGCTCCCAAAGCACACAGCACTTTTAAAAATTGTTCATTGGGTATGCAATATTCGTTTTGGTCAATACCATGTGTCACCGATTGATTCAATAGATGTTCTCATTTGCTCGCATTAACGGTACTCGTTGATCATTACTGATGCAGTGCATTGACCCTGAAAAGAATAAAAACATTTGGAATGATCACACAATGAAATTGTTGAAATACCTGGACTACCTGTATCGGCCAGGCTATCAAACTTTTATAACGTTGCTGACCACAATGCTCGCAATGTTTCCGTGCACATTGTTCTAGCCTCAATTTACGCCACCCGGCTGGCTAGGCGAGTAGGCCAACCGAACAAAACCGAGTAAATAATTAGTCGCCGTGAATACTTTGCATAATTAAACGCAGTCAAATACCAATTCAATAAATAATCATTAATTTAATGAAATAAATATTCCACTGATCGCTCACTGCGATTAACGAAACAAGCACTCGATGTCCAAGTGATAACTAATAACTCGAAATTGTTGAAATGTTCATGAAAATGATTATAAAATGCTATTGAAGTAATGTTTGTGCGAAAATCCTCTCAACAGTTTCAGGTTTACCATGGAACACGATTTATCGTGATTTCTTCTTCATATTTATCTTTTGTACTTCTTCTCTTACATGCGGTAAGCTGTTACAGTTCGAAATTCTGGATTTCACCATCATGCAACTAGTTGTTCAACAATTGCTAGTTTCTTTTATGATGTAGTCGTGCGATGAGTTTCAAGCACGTTTTCGAAGTTTTCTGTGCGCTTTCTTTCAGAAACAACAATCTTTTCAGCGATCAGAAAACCGTCTTCATACTGTTCGAAAAAAGAAAAGACTCTGTGAATGAATAACTGTACGTTTGATTCCAGGAACATTGCTGATAATGGTTGGTGTCTATTACTGGTTCAGACATCAGGCGAAAACAGTTGTGAACAATGCGGTTCTGGCGACAACAACATTGATTTTGATCGCATATGTTATTTTATGGTCCACTCCAATATCTGTTTTTTTGTGCGATGCAATTTTTAAAGCGTCTAGTGGTGAGACGAACGGNCGGTGGTCACCGCTTTTCGCGATGCGTCCACTGCGGCTATTCAAACGGATCCTTCGTTCAAAGCGAGTACCAGGTCGACAACAACTAATCACAACTAAACTAAAATAAACCAGTAGAGTCGGTCACAAAACTTCCTCTCAACACTACTGATTGCCACAATAGTTATTCTTATCATTCTATGAGCTATGATTCAAACATAAAGTTTTCTGATGGGGTGAAAAACATGCGATTTTTTAAATGACTTGTGATTGGTGTTGTTAACAATAAACGATTATAGTTGAGTGAGTCGATCTATATTAATGACCATTCGAGACGTATTTATGAGTTGATGAAGTAAAAGATATGATTTAAAATATCGATGAGAATTTGTATTCATTTCACACTAAACGGAGACGGAAAGGATCTTGTTTCATTTTGATGCGAAAAAACAAGGATTTCTAAACGAGGATTTTAAATTGCGATTGGTGAATAAGCACTGAAAAAAGGTATATTGTGTGTTGTGCAGCTCTGAATTATAGATTCTGCTCATAACGAGTTTCACAAAAAATGACACAAATATACCATGAGTATCTCTGAAATATCAATATTTGAAAGTTTTCAATACCTGTGAAGAACTCTAAAAAGAACAGAATGAAGATTTTATGAGCGTGCGTGA